AAAAATACGATACGGTAGAAGCATTGAACAAATATCCGAGCGCCTCAGAACAAAATTATTACATATTTTTAAAAAATCAAAAAATAGGAAAAACAAATGTGTAACAGTCAACACAATTACAAGAAACATTTTTTTGATGATCTAATGGAGGTAGGATAACGTTTCACATAGACGGAATTTGGGTATTTCAATATCCATATCGTCATTTTTGTGTCATATAAAATATATTTTATTGAAGAATTAAAGCGGCTTTTTTTTACAACACTCTATGTATCACTAGAAGTTGCAATGGTAATGTTAGCTTGTTTAAAAACAAAGAAATGTTATTAGTCGCCAGTAAGTTGATTTACAATTTATTTTGCATCTTTTTCATCACTTAGTACTTAGAAAACTCTTTCATTAGTGACACTGGTTGAATATAATATAGTTTAAATCCTTTTAGTTGAAGATGCAACATTTTTTCATGGCCAACTGCGAACAAATATCAAAGATAATTTTTTGCTAAAAATGTATTATTATAATTTGTCACAAATATATATTTTTTAGATAAGAAAAAAACAGGCTTTTTAAAAATGACATAGCCATCTATGATTCCCATTTAAAAAAAATACAAGTTTATTTTATTACGGCTAAACAAACAACTGAAAAAAATTGTTAACTACATTATTAAATTCTACGTAAAAAAGTGCCTATATAATGTCTTTATTTCAAATCTGTGTCTTCTATAATAACGAAGATATGAATTTTTTTAGATTTCGCTAAAATGTCAATTTTTGTCTACAAGTCGAAAACAAAAGACGATAGCGAGATGCGGTTTTAACCAATATTATTTTCTCAAAAAATGAGCCCCAGAATGTATCATTCGTTTTTGGCTAAACCTCTTAGTTTCGGAGATTCCCTATTCGGACATCCAAAATGCAGCACCCTGTACAAGTGATTCAAAAATTTGTGTCATAATTTTAATCACGAATACCCCTCTACAAATGAGCGTAGATAGCACAGTACTTATTAATCCAATTCGTCAAGCAATAGAAAAATTACAGCTTTTATAATCATCAAAAAATAAACAAATGTTTCTTTGAATTTAATGAAATTTACATTAAATATGACAGCATTGACAGCGATGTCATTCGTAGTGGATTGTTTCCAAGGTGCGCTCAAAATTTATAAATTTTGATTTTGCAGCGCGGTGTAGAATAACTCGAGAACGGTACATTTTGGCGATATGAAACTACCTTTTTTATAAAAAAAATGTTTGGGCTGTATCAAAACAGAAATTAATAAGCCGAAAAAAAGTTATGATCCCAAAACTGGGAGGACCCATTACTACCGGAAATGTATAGCTTCTACAAGACTTCCAAATCAAAGAGTGTCTTTTTGTCCATGCAAAATTTAATAATAATCGGATAAACGGTAACAAAAATATTTCCAGAAAATCAATGACTTTTGGAAAGTTGTAATTTTTCTATTTTTTGAGGTTCGTCAATAAATACTGTTCTATCTATTCTCAATTGTAGAGGGGTATTCGTAATTAAAATTATGCCACACATTTTTTAATCAACCGATATAAAATATCGTTTTTACTTAATTTAATTTTAATTTTTTTTTTTTAATAAATAACATGTTATTAAACCATCATGATTTCAACTGACGTCACAATTTCAATGGAGGAAACAAACTCTTTCAAAAAAAATTACTACATAAAAGTGACAAGTAGTTTTTATACATATTTTTATTGTATTGTACCGGGTGGGGCATCGGTTACGCGCACTTGATAAATCGCGACTTCAAATTAATTAAAACTGGCGATATTTCATATACCTAACTAACTATTGATAGGGTATAATTTGAGAGTTTTTCTAATTTTTTTCGATAATAAATGAGTCCGTAACAGTTTTGTGTGTTTTATGAATACTTTCTGTTAATTTACCTATAAAGTTTTTACACTAAATTAATCTGTACCTGTCAGCGCATCAAACTTTGATATCACAATTTCAAATTTTGACTTGGTTAGCCAAATAATCGTTTTTTTTTATTTAAACACAAACCAAACCCGTGATTTATGACAAAATGGTATAATTTGCCAACAAAAGAATCATTTACTGGTAGCCGACCGCTTTAAAGGGTCTTTTTGTTGTAAACCATGGAATCTTACCCCAATTGGAGTTCCCCATTGTCACCTAAATTTACGATGGCACAAGTAGCAGGTAATAAATAAAAATGATTTTCGAAGTTAAGATGGGAAATTGCGTTTAATTCAAAATCTAATTGGAATTTTTTTTCTGATTTTGTAAACAATTGTAGGAAGTGAATCTGCGAAGGTCAGTATAAAAATTAGAATTAAATTTTTTGGGAAAAAATTACTTTTTTTTTTTTGGCTTTGTTTGTGAATGAAAAATTACCAAAAAATTAGAGAATGTACCTTACTAATGCCCAGGTAAGTGTGAAAAAATTCAACAATTTTATTTAATTACTTAAGATGTGGGGATTTATTTTCTGTGCGTAACCGATGCCCCTCCCGGTATTGTATATTGGGCCCTCATTTCAACTTAGCATTCCATATAAAAATTTGCCAGTCCGCCCCTGAATCCCCGATTTGTGCTTTTTCACTCGTTCAAATTTCCAGAAACATGACTGTTTGCGAATCAAACTTTTGGGCGATTGTTACTACTGCGTGTCGGGTTTACCGAATCCACGATTCGACCATGCAGACTGCGCCGTCGAAATGGGGCTAAACATGATCAAGGCGATCAAAGACATGAGAACAAAAACACAAGTCGACATCAATATGCGAATTGGGATTCACTCAGGGTCTGTTCTTTGCGGGGTTTTGGGTTTGAGGAAATGGCAGTTTGATATTTGGTCACATGATGTTAAAGTCGCCAATCGGATGGAAGCAACTGGCATTGCAGGGTATGATGTTGACATTTTTCTTCGTAGTAGAGGATACGAATTAGGGTTGACCTTCACCGGATGAAACTTATTTTTTATCAAATTTAATATGCAAAGGGATATATCGCGAATGGGTTGCCCAAAAAAATATGACTAATTAAAAATACAAAAACATTCTTTTTATTATTTCACTCATTTGCTTACCAAGGAAATTAAATACCAATCGAAAGTATGAAGCCTAAGGAATATAAAAAAAATTGGGTTGCCTACCTTTTTCTGTTCACTACTATTGGGTTACCAGGTATAAACAGGTAAGTCAATGTCTCTATACTCGTTTTCATAAAGCTCGGATTATATGCAAAATGCATATTTGTTATTAAGAGGTATATCAATAAAATTGTAAGTTTTCTATGCATATCTAATGTTTTTTAATTAAAATAAGCCAAATAAAAAATGCATATTTTGGCAACTTGGTGCATATTTTAGGAAATATTGCATATTTGTGCATATTTTCTTCAAATCACTAATTTCCGATTAAAAATTTCAGTTCGAGTTAAAAATTAAACAGTTTATAAAAAATGATCCGAATACAAAATATTTTAAAGAGAAAACAACCGGTAATTCGTAAGCCAAACTCAAAAAAATTATTACCCTGCTGAGTGTTTCCTTTTTAAATTGTATTGAACCAAGCGGTTTTTTTTAAATCATTTGTTTCCAAAAAATAATAATTAATATGGATTAAAGTAATATAAAAAATGATCTTATTTTAAGAACAAAATTTTGTTTTGTTTTTGAGTTATTCGATTTTTGCTGTCTAAATTGCGATATATGTAAAAAAAATAATTTAATACAAAGTAGATAGTTGTAATCCCTTAGATCATAACCTTCATGAAAAAAATGTTTTTTTGGTGGGTTCCCATTTAAAAAAAATAATAATATTTTTGTAAAACTCAATAACAAAATAACAAAAATTTTGAAAAATTTTATTTTTGATAAAACATCACATTTTTATAGAACTCTCTAATTCATCAATTAGTTTTTTCAAAAAATAAATACGTTTGCTTTTTATTGTTCAAAATTTTGCATATCGATGCATATTTGACATATATTGGAGCATATTTCTTAATATTTTGTGCATATTTTTGGAAAATACGTGCATATATATGCGCATATTTTACGATTTTTTCGTGCATATAATCCGAGCCTTATTAATGTGCATCGAAGTAGTCGTTGAAAGGGATCATTTTAAGGTGGCAACCATGCGAAAATTCAAAGAATCCTAAAGTCAATTTTCCCTAAAAATTATTTTTTCAAATAAATGTGTACTCCATGTAGCAAAAAATAGTTACAATTAACAACGTAATCAACATAGGATAGGAAACATAAAGATATTTGTCATTATTGATTTGATTAAATTTATTTTGAATGACATTAATGACACTTTTTGTGTAAATCGGACTTTAAATTAAAGATTCATTTAGACCTCTACAACCTACTTGATGCACATTAATATGAAAAATTATAAATTTGTCGTTGGGGTTCTGTTTAACACAGAAGTTTTTCGTTATACAGAAACTCTCAATTTGTGCTCTATTTCACTACAAAAAATGCAAAAGCGCTGCTGCCATTTTCTCTTAATAACTGAAATAATACATAGTTCGAAAATTACGTTTATTTGAGTTTATATTTACTTTATTGTTTTTTGGAGCTAGCGACACTTTTTTGAAGATTTTTTTTGCACAAAACAACATTAAAACATCTATTCTTTTAGAATAATAGGGGAAATAATAATGGCTTGCAGTGACTTAATATTAATTATAAAAGGAATTGTAGAAAAATTTATTTGTGACGTGTAACACATTTTCAGGTTTGTGTTTTGCATTTGGTAATTTAAATGCTTTTAATAAGTATTTCTGAATCCAAATATGTGCTACTGCGGTGCTACTTACTCATTTTTATCATTTATCGGCAGTAAATTAGTAGAGGATATTGTACATACAGATGACTGAAAAAGAATTAGAGAGTCTATTTAATTGTGTTGAATCGGATTATGAATAATGTTCAGCAATTAAAAAATTTGATATTTAAGTATTTTTGTATTAAAAGTTTTTACATGACAATATGTTTATCATTATCAATGTTGGCACATCTGCAAATTTTGATTTTTTGATGAATTTTATTTTTTTTTTAATTCAAAACACTCCTAAAGGCTGATAGTAAATTTAAAAATACAATTATTCATCCTTATGTTTTGGAACGATTATTATTTAGTATCCAACAAAACTGAAGAAGTTAACAAAACAAGTTTGTAGTTACAAATTTTTTCAAAATTTTCTCTAACGTCCCACTGAGTTTTAACATGTTTGTCGCACATCTTCATTCGTTCCGATTTTTCAATTTCAAAGCTTGGCAACCCTCATTCATGAACGTTTCTTTATTTTCATATACAGGGTGAATATAAAGTATGGAACCAAGCGGTTTTATTTTTAATCATTTGCCTTCAGAAAATAATAATTAATACAAATTAAAGTAATATAAAAAAATGTGATCGCATTTTCAGAACGAAATTTTGTTTTGTTTTTGAGTTTAGCGATTTTTCTTTGTCAAAATGGCAATTTATGTGAAAA